GGATTGCGCCGACCCACATGCAGGACTTTGCACTTGATTAACTTCATTCTTTGGGACAGTTTAGAGGCTGCAATATTAACATGCAAGTTTTAAAAAAAACACTTATCCATCAACCAGAGTCAGGCCTGAAACTTTTCAGAACATGAAAATGGACTTGAAAACTCAGTGTAACTAAAATCAGTGTTCTCCCAAATAAGAGTTATGGCAGTCCCTCTGTTCCACAGTCATATCTTATTTACCTGAGCTACTTGTTTGTGTTTTGGGGGTATGTTCTTCACGTAGTTGGCTTTCACACAGACAATATTTCTTGCTGGAGAGAAACAGGCAGGTATTTAAATGTTTTGTTTCAGGGTACGTTAACCACTGTAGCATCTGACATGATAAACTGTGGAGAGGCCTTTCCCCTCGATTCTCCCATCGTACAAAAAAAAGAAGAAAAAAATTGAAAACTCGCATCTAAGTGCCCCACTAATGTGATGTTCTGGGTACCTGCAGTCTGCAGGACCTGCCAAAATTCCCTTTGCTAGATATTACTGTCACTAACTTCCATGAAGAGGTTGGAGCTCTGGGAGCTTTTTAAATGTCCTCTAGCAACAACCAAAGGAGTCACTGCACTGTTCTTAAACTAAGGGAGGCAGAGCAGAACAAGCTGATTTTCTAACTGGAGAATAATGGTGTGGGCTTACAGCAGCAAAGTAGTTGGTTGCCTGGAAGACAGCATTCCCACTTCAGTTTAAATGCTAAGCTTCTGCTATCAGAGGTAAAATGCATCCATGGAATTATTTTTTCAATGAGAAAAGTACACAGTGACCACTCCAGTGCCTCCTGCTATGGATGTTGATACACAAACCCGAGTATTGACGGTGTGAATGAGTTCAGAACTGAGCAGCTTGCAAGGAGCTGCTACCACAGCTGTCATCCTTACTGCTGTATTTAGCAGATTAGAAGCTGGTGTTTCTTAAGAAGCTAACAAACTGAGGTTTTAAAATTGCTGCCCCAGACTTGCTAGGGTTTCCTGTTGGCATCCCTCAGGATTCAGGCTTCTAACTTGGGTGGAGGCTGTCACAGCAGAGCCTTGCACCAACCCAGCCCATGCCAGCAGTTTTCTACCCAGATCCTTGTCCTGCGCTGACCTCTGCCAGTTCCCACATACAACCCCACAGTTTTGGGGTTGCCATCCGGTCCTCGGTTCACAGAGAAAGTAGATTTGTTTCGGTAGCCATTAATGATGGGCTGAGGGAGAGAAGAAGGAAAAGCAAAGCCTTGGATTAAAAGAAAAAGTAATGGAGGAAAGCCAAAACCCAGCCTGGTTGTTCTGTTGGCAACACAGGAAGATACACATGAATACGCAAAAACGCAGAAATGGAGCTTGTGCTCAAGACCCCCAGTACTTCCCCTTGGGAAGAAGAAATGGCTCTCTGTGACACAATGGTGAGAAGTTTATCAGGGCAGGCTTGGGCACAAAAAAGGGTTCCTAATCACTGTGCCTGTTTCACTCTCCAGCAGTCACAGGCTGCAAAGCAGAAGCTAGCAAGGACTGCCACAGACACATGCTCTGCAACCATGTAATCCCCGCTATGAGACTCTTTGGGAGCTGAGAGACTGTTGGTGGCTCAGAAGGGACAGCATTCCCATGGGATACTTACTGAAGGGACTACAGGCTGGAGAGGACAGCAGAGTCCACCAGGTTTCTGCGTATCTATGCCCAGCTCCTCAAGACAAGATGCCAGTGTCTGCAAAATCTTCCTCTGGCTTTCATACTTCACCTGCAGAGGAGTCCTAAGCCAGAAACACTCTCACTGGACCACACGACAGTGGGCAGCTCTTCATCACCCACCTCTGGGAAGGCCAACGGGAGGGAATACTGCAAGGGGGATATAGCCCTAGAGGAACTCTGCCTTTCTTATCACCACAGCCGCTTGGAGCAACGGGGAGAGAGAGGAATCCTGTGTCCATGGTCCCCAAGCACTGGCCTGGAGCACTTGGTCCAACCTGAAACCCCAGTGAACCAGCTGTCCCGCACTGGACAGGATCACTGTGTGAGTGCCCATATTCTATGGTGTTGGTGATCACACACAGCACCCACAGGGGACCTCCCAGTTCTATCCTTCACAATAACTATAGAATTAAAGCAGCAGTGAATGGGTTCTGAAGAGTTTACAGCATTAAATGACTAAGATGCTATGGGCTGTTGCTCAAGTGGGTAGGAAGCACAGTTGGGGCAACATGACAGAGAAAAGTCCACATAAGTACATCTTACCTGCAGCTGCTCTTGATAGGGAAGTCTCCACAGTGGAGTCACTGCATTTGCTAACCTGGAAAGCACAATATCATGGTAGTGCCTCGCCTCCTGATACTTATGACATAGCATCCCCACCAGTTGCTTCATGGCCAGGACCATTCTGGTACAGGCTCTGCAGCAGAGCTGGCTGTGAATGTCCGAACTCCCTTTTCATGGCACCTTCCTGGTGCAGAATACTTGTGGCTGGAAGAGGGACCCAGGAACCACAACAACCAGCTCTCCAAGGGACAGGCTGAGCCTTCAGCAGACGGCTGACCGGTGATGCCTCAGAGCACTGGGTAACCCAAGTATCTTTCTGATCCCTCTTTAGAGAAAAGGGCCAGGAACAGCATTTCCCCCACACAGGGACCCCAAAAGGCCCTGTCGATCCCTGGGTGAGATCTGACTCCAAGCTGGTAAAGCCAGGGGAATGAATATTCAAATGTTACTGGGATCAGACGGGGGAAAAAAAAAAAAACCCCAAAAAAGTGCAGGCAGAGAAGGGAAAAAAAAGAGATCGTGCTGTAGCTTCAGATGGGCTCTGTTGCTTTCTCCCACTGAATCAAAGGCTTTGGCCATCCCTTGCTGCTCTGAGGACAGCCCGAGTCCCATCTCCGTGGAGTTTTCCCCTTAAAGAGCAAGATGCTTCTCTCAGCACTCCTGCATCATCTACCAGTTTGGATTTCCAGCCGCTACTACATCTTTTTTGCTACTGCTGTACTAGATTAAATCCACCACAGTGAAATGCCTAGTTTGTAGCAGGCAGGGAATTACAGGCTGTCCACTGTCACTCACCCGGCCACCCATGTAGTGACAGGTTAGAGATAAACTTTTGAACTTACCACTACTTATATCTGAGGCAGGGCAAACAAGAACAAAGCACATAAAAGCTGATTAAAAAAATAATTAAAAAAAAATAGTAAGGGGTGAGGTGGATATGATCCAAACTATCATAAATATCCATCAACTACTGACTCACTGAGCCCATGGAGAACCTCACCCCACAGCTGGATAAGCTGCTGTTATTGTTTAATGGGATTTTCAAAGCTGCTTCCAAAGCACCCATTGCCAGCTAGTTTCAGCCACAGAACTGCAAATCAAATGGACTATTACTTTTTGCTTGCCGGTATGGCAACTGGTCTGCTTCTTATCCTTTCCTCTTAGACCTTTTCATTTGTCTTTTCCATTATTCCATCCCCCAGGCCAAGCTCCAGGGAAGCCTGCTGAGCCCTGGTCCTCTATTCCTACTGGGGAGAGCTGGGTGGAGGTGAGGCCCCCAACCCACTGCTCTAACCACTTCACGCGCTTGGTGCTTTGGAAAAGCCATACCTCTCCTCCCAGGAAGAACCAGGTAGGCTGCAGCACTCCCCGGCCTTTTTCTTCTCCTTCCCCTTTCCTTCTGTCTTCTCTGTCAGCAGGCTGCAGTTCCGACCAGGCAGGCTGCTGGGAAGAGGACTCAAAGCGCAAAGGTGCCGGAGCGGTAGCCTCAACGTGCAGGACATGGTGAGAAGGAGGGGCTGCACCCCTGCAAGCAGCACAGTAAGCCCACTGTCAGCCTCCCAGAAAGCGGCACACAGCTGCAAACCTGGAGATGGGTTAAGAAAAACACCGTGCTCGTGGCCAGCTCCACTGCAGACAGTAAACCACATAGTTTAAAAATAACCCATGGCCCATCTGACTCAGCAGGTGCATTTTTACTTTGCTCAGAGCTGCCGGACAGCGTTTACATGTAGAGCAGCGAGTGCCCCTGCCCTGGGCCGGACGGGAAGCGCAGAGGGAACAGGCAGCTAAAAGTAGCTGCAGGTGACCGGCCTCCGGCAACTAGCACGCTAGGACACGGCTAGCGGCACCCGCTCCCAATCCTGCTTGCCCTGGACCCTGCCGGTGCTTCCATCGCTCAGCTTTTGTCTCGCGTGACGAGAAGCTCGCTCCTTCCGCTCGCGGCCGATGGCCTCCTGGGGGCGATCGGAGCTCACGTGGCGGGATGCGGCGAGCTGCGTTTCCGCCGCCTTGCGCAGTGTTTACGGCTGACAAACCTTCCCGGGCCGGGGGGCTCCCCGCAGCGCTCCGAGGTGGCTGAGCCCCCTGCCAGGGAGCCAGGGCCAGCTCCGCCCAGCCCATGGGCATTTCTGCTCGGTAGCGATTCCCGCCGCCTTCCTGCGGCCCGTGCCTTACCTCCCGGCGCAGCGCCCCGGCACCGCTGCAGCCTCCCAACCCTGCGCTTTCCGGGTACCGAAAGCGGCAAAATAATTCACTCTCTAATACTTATTTTGAAGTTTTAGAAAGCAGGCATTCTTTATTGCAGCGCTGGGTGCACGGGGGATAACTCCACCTAACGTGCACACCCAAAAGACAAAACTAGCAAGTATTTATACTATGTTAATATACATATTCAGTATATTTTCGAGTAATGCTTATCACATTCATGGATTTTCCGGGAACTCGTTAGCATATGCTAATGTCTTTCCACATGTTTGTTGACACCTCCAGGTGG